GTTTGTAAAAAATGTACACTTAATCAGGGGTGTCGCGATCAACTGAATACTGGGGGATGGAAGGGGGGCGTAACTTATGAAATCCTGTTTTCCTAAAATTTTGTAGGGCGAGTAACCAATGTTATTAGATCTTCCGGATTCTGAAAGTTTTTTTTAACTTTTCCTGATTTTTCCATTTTCTTATGGATTTTTTCGTAAATTTTTTGCACTTTTTGAAGACTTTTTTTAAAGTTTTTCTGGATTTTTCGGATTCTTTTCTCAATCTTTCCAATTTTGAGATTTAAATTCCGGATTTTCGAGTTTAACATCTGGCAACATTGAAAGTAGCTTAGCAGATTGAACTTGATGTAGTATAAGTTTCATTTTGTGAAACACAATGCAAGACAATTTTTCGAATACTGGAGAGTGCTCATGTCTCCATCCTCCCGCTGTCGTGGTACCCCTGGGCTTAATGCTCTGCAACGACTAAATATATTAATATGAAACGAAGAAAGACAGTAGACTGCTCTATGGCGATTACTGCATGACTACATGTTGTACAAATCTTCAAACATATTTGCACTGATCCACAAGAGAAGGTATTAGTGATGTGCTTGTTTGTTCAACCAACTTTGTTGAAAAGTACAAGGAGATATTCTTGTCATAAAAGATGCTTTATCTCAAATTCGAAAAATAAAACTTCCAAGCACGAGTACTGAACCCCTGAGTACTCGTACGCGTACTCGAGTACGAGTACTTCGAGTATTTTGCCCACCTCTGGTCCAATATCACATTCAGTGAATATTAATATCTAGTTTCAGCGTTTTTTGTGGCTCCGATAAAATTGTCTTCAGTACTAGGTCTATGTCTGAGTGCTTTTAGATAATTATAAATTTCAATAATTTGTCGATTTAGAGGGTGTGTGGGTGGGGGTATGCGTATGCGTGAGGATATACCTCTTCTCTCTGCCTACACCAAACCGCACACCCACATCCTTTCGTAAATAAATAAATAAATAATTTTTTATGCATAGACTTGCTTGACACAAGATTTTACTATTTATCTTAGAAATTAATAGGATTCAAATTTATTTTTATGAAATTCGAAAAAAAGACTTCGTCATTGCTTCAAGAATGAAAATAAGAACTGCTTTACTTATATTCATAAGAGATAATTGTTTGATATTCCATTTAAGAAGAAGAAAAAGAGCATTAAATGATAAACTTCTCTCGATGAAAATCTTTGACTCTATTATTTACGGATATTTCAGAACAATGACACTACTACGGTTTCCGGAACGCCTTGATTAACTCTCATGAGTATGATGTTCTATTGCATTATGTTTATGTTCATCTAACTATTATTAATTTGTTTAGTCGATTTCGTATTTGGTCTAGTTATTAAAACTCAAGGCAATTATGGCTGTTTTTCTAAGAATAAAAGAGTGAGATTGCAGCACTTATCTCAACGGTTATGATTTTTTTCTTTGTTTTTTAATCTTGAAGGTGAACTTCAATGATTAAATATTTTTTTGAAACAATTTCAATTGTTGACCGGTATTTTTTATATTAATATAACCCGATCAAGAAAATAGACTTATTTATATTCAAAATTTAAAAACGAAATAAAAAACGACAATATTTTCTAAAATAATATCTACATACTGTATATATGAAAACATCGTATGATATTTTTCTTTTGTCATAAAATTCAAATGTATAGAAAAAAGTAAATATTATCTATGAGTAAGAAAGATCTTTTGTTGATTGACAAAATATTTGTTGAAATTAAGAATATGTAAAGATATCAACTGTCAACGATTTTTTTTATAAACATTAATTTATTCAATTTCTTCAATACTTAAACATTGAAATTTGATATATATATATACATGTATATATAAAGAAGAACCTATTTAATATAAAATAAGAAAAACAAATTTCATATTTCGAACATTTCTCATTCGTTAATCTAATTATGTCTTCCAAAGTTATTTTATTAATCTTATTAAATTTATTAATTGTTGAAGGAGAACAATGTCGATGTTTATGTTGCGATCCTGAACCTTGTCTAGTTAAACCTCTTGAAAATCAATTTTATGTTGATAAATGTTGGGTTAATGGACAATTCGAATGTATAAACATTTGTCGCAACCGATATCCCGATAAATGTGGTCTTAGTTCATCTGTGCTTGTACCTATTTGTCGAGCTTCGTCGATTAATTCATTTTATGTATTTTTGATTTCATTCATTTATTTTATTCATCAATTCGTTTTTTATTGAACTTATTCAAGATTTGTTTGTGTTTAATTCAATATTATTTATCAATTAAAACAAAGAAAAACCTTTTTATTTTTTTAACATTGTGATATATTCTTTAATAAAACATTCAACAACAAAAAAAACTCAATTACTTAGTTTTCGAAATTATTAATATGATTAAAGTTCGACTATGTAAAGAAAAATTCATTTAATAAAACTTAATTTGTTATTTTCCTTTTGAATAAATAAGTAAACCTGTCATACATCAACGAGGGATATACATGCCAGAGATGGCCATGGTGGTATGGCACCTCTTTCAAGAGATTTCGAGAATGCATGAATATTTGTACAGAATCTCAGTTATCAAATATTTTATACTATAAAATCTAATGAATCTGATCAATTAACAGCAGCAATTCAAGTTTAAATTAATACAGCTTTGAAACTCAAAACATTCTTTTTTGAATAGCATTGTGACAGTGGCAGATTCTCAGCCGCAATTATAAATTATTATTGATTTTATAAAAGAAAAAGCATAAGACTATTTTAACTATACTATATGCAAAAATAAATTTTCATTCATGGTTATCTATTTATGGAAAAATTTTGCTTATTTTTCATTAGTTTATGTAAATACCTAATGACAGACACACGCACCTTGTCTAGTAATAGATTTTAACGAATTGTCTGATAGAATTAAAATAAAATTCACAACTTTTGATTCGTATATAAATTGATTATTTAAGATGATTTTATTTTTATAAACAAACTTTAATTGATTATCAAGTAAGATATTCAGACATGAAATACTTAGAAATATCAGAGAACATGGCTCCCGACTACTCTTGGAAGTGGATCAGGCTAAATTTTGGTTGAAAGTTTCGGTTGTCTCTTTTTTTGGTAGATAGTATCTGACGAAAAGCACATACTTGTTTCATCATTTCATTATCTAAGTTCATCTCTATTAAAAACAAGTGAAAACAACATAAGCATAGAAAAATAATCTTTCAAAAACTTTGCTCATTGTCCACCAAAAGTGATAGATTTTCAAGTAGAAATAGAAAATAAAATATCGAATTCATCAATAGAAACAAATAACTGCAGTAAAAAAAAGTTTTTTTTTATAGTGAATGCACAAATCAGTATATTTTTACTAAAAAAATTTTAAAAAAACATGTTAACTGACGACATAGGAATGTACTATAATCAAAAATTCCGCAAAAACCACTTTTTATATCTTAAATTTTTCTCGAGACTAGCTCATCACAGCTCGCCTCTAATTGGAGACCATACCAGAGTACGTATAAGCACCAGTTCAGTTTTTTTTGGCAAACACCAAACATAGAAAAAGATGTGATTTTATCAAAAAAAACATGAATATCTCTTTGCATAGGACAGACTTTGACTGTTTCAATTGAAATATTCGAAACAGGGCCGAATTCTTGTTCAATGATACCAATTTCGTATTCAATCAATAAATAATAATAAAAGAATGAATTGATTGATTAAATCAGAATAATAATCTAGCGAAAAATGGTTCTGATAGATGTCACTGAATATTACCAACAGAATTCTATATTCTATTGTTTCCTTGACAATATTCAATCAGTCAAATATGGTTGAATGATTTAAAGTTGGTCTTTAATCGACCCAAGCAATAAATAAAGAAACGAAAAGAGAAGAATAAAAAATGCTGACATTAACAAGTGACGTAAGTTTCAATTTCTAATGTAAAACAATAAAAAGGAGAATTTATTTATTAAAATTCTTATAGTTTGAATCAGATTCATTTGTTTCCGAAATGTCAATCAATGGAACAAATCAAGAAAAAAAAGCTGCAGAAAATATACGAAGAAGTTTAGATATTCAAGGTGAAAAATTAAATGAAATTACATCAAATAATAGACAAGTTTGTTTTTCGTTTAATTTGGCTTTTGCCTTTGATTTAAATCAAAATCATTTTAGTTAATTCATGTTGAAAGTCAATTAGCAAGATTAAGATCTGAATTAGAGAAAAGTGAAATGTTAAGACAGACATTAGAATATGAATTAACACTTCTTAGAACACAACATGGAAAACAAAATGCTTTTACAAATCAATTACAAAATCAATTTAATCAAGCCAATGGTTTTAGTTTTAGTTTCAGTTTTTTCAATTATCTTTTATTTTTATTTTAAAGAACAAATGAAACGACTTCAATCAGAATTAAATACCATCAATCATCAGAAAGACAATCAATTAAAAGAAAAAGTATTGTATTTAAATATTTTAAATTATTTTACTTTTTATCTCTGATTTTATTTAAAAACCAAAGGATAAGAAAATAAAAGAATTAGAAAATCAAGCAGAAATATTTCATGATCGAGAAAGGTCTTTTTCTCTTCTTTTTCTTATTTTTCTCTATTAAAAACAAACAAGTTTTTCTTTTAGACGAATTGAAGCTTTAAATGAACAAATTCAAAAAATGGAAAGTAAAATTTTTTCCTAAAATTAATTTTCTTTCATTATTTATAAATATAGAGACATTTTCAGAATCTGAGTCATTATCTCGACAAAATTTAGCTCAATCCATATTATCAAAAGAACGTGAAACAGAATTAAAAAGAGAATATGAGGTTAGTCGTCAAAATTATTTTATTATTAGGAATATAATTTGCCTTTCTTTACTTAACTGAAAACAAAAAGTTTTTTCGAATAAAACTTGAATATAGTGAACAAGCACTTGAACAAGAACGTTCTATATCAAATGAAGCAAAATTAAATGTTCAATTATTGAATGTATTTAAGAAAACAATATTTTTTTCAATAGCCTAATTTTTGTTCATTTAGAATCGTTTGTCTGATATGGAAATAAAATGTGAAGAATTAAAAGAAAATAATAAAAATCAAGAAAGAAAAATTGATGAACTTGAACGACAATGTACAAATGAAAAAATTCTTCGAACAACACTTTCAAAAATTCAATCAGAATTAGAAACAAATTGTACACAAACACAAAAATTAACTGTTGATTACGAAAAACAATTAAAAACTATACGAGATGAACTTTCAAACGTAAGATTTTCTGTTTCTCTTTTATAATTGAATCAATTTCATAAATGCATGCATGAATAGTATCGTCGAAAATTTCGAAATAATGAAGAAAAATATAATCAAATTGTGAATAAAATTTTTGAATACCTTCGTTTAACAAAAATAATTCAAGAAACAACAAATCAATCAGATATTAATTTACCAACGGTAAAGCAATTAGAAGAACTTAAAATTTATATTGAACATTTAAAAAATTCAAAACTTGAACAAACAAATGAAGTATTTTTATCTTTTTCTTTTTTTATTCTTTAATTTGTTTGTTTTTTTTTGCAGATAAATCGTTTAAAAAAAACAATTGAAAGATTAAATAAAAATTCGTTAAATCAAAAACAAGTTGAACATCAAACAGAGGTTCGCTGTTTTCATCCATATTCTATGATTCGTAAACTTTAATTTTTATATTGATTTCGTTCAGATGACTCGAGAAAAATTGCAAATTGAACTTGATGAATGCCAAGAAAAAATGACATTTCTAGAAGAAAATTTTCAACGTTCAAAAATTGAATGTGAACATTTAATGAAAGAAAATGAAAAAAAGAAAATGCTATTAAATTTAATTGATTTTAAATTAAAAAATTTAATTGGTAAAAATTCGAATAATATTGAACATAATTTGCATGAATTAGAAAAACAATGGAAAAATATTCATTTAAAAATAAATTTACTTGATGAAAAATTAATTGAACGTGATAATGGAACTTTACAATTAACACAAAAACTTGAAGAACAAGTTTTAAATCTTAAACATGATTTAGATCAAAGACATCAAACATTTTTAACACAAAAAAATCAATTATTACAAACAAATCAAAATCAAATTCAAAATTTAAATATTCAATTGCAGGTTTTTCTCGCTTCTATTTTTATTTTTCATTATTGAAATTAGACATTCTCTATTTGTATTTTATTTGCTTATTTTTAATTAAAAAGAAAATGGAAACACGCGCAAATGAATATGAACAACTTTTGAAAGTTTCAAATAATGAAAATAAAAAAAATATTGATGAAATTAATAAATTTAATTTAATATTAAAACATTTAATATCATTATTAATTCCAATTCGTCGAAGATACTTTCAATTAATTGATACAAATCGTTTCCTAAAAGACGAATATAGCAAATACAATAAAATAAAATCGATTATTTATTTAGATCAATTAATGAAACAGAAAAAAAAATCTTTAAGAATTTATATTATTTCAATAATTGCTTCAAAAAGATTTATTTCATTTAAAAATAAATCATCCATTAAATGTATTCATTCAACTAATTTTATTTATGATCAATCAATTATTTATTCATTTAATTTAAATTTTATTCAATCGATTAATACTGAACAAATATTTCAATCATTAATTAATCAATTAAATCGATTCTATTCACCTATAACAAGAGGGTTTCTTTGTTTTTCTCATCAGTTCCTTTGTTTTTAAGTCTCATTTTTGTTTAGATCATTAATTAAATTAATTGCTCAAGGAATTCCAAAATCATCTTCACACATTAAGGTTCATTAACATTTTTATTTATTCGTTTGTTTCTTAATTACTGTTCAATTCTTTTAATTAGATTTTTGATTATGTTCATTCAATAATGATTCGTCTTGACCAATCAGGTAATTAAATATGTGAGAAAATACATATATGCATTTATTTTTAATTCAGAATCGAAAATCCATGATAAAGATATTGAATGTACAGATTTAAAAAAAAGATTAAAAACTTTTCAAACTGAATTTGAATCTCGAATTGACTATCATAAATTTGAACGTATTTGTGATGAATTACAACGAGCTTTAGATAGAGAAAAACAAGCACAAGAATTACTCAATGAACAAAATAATCAATTGAAATCTCTAACTGATGTTCTTCATCAAACACAAAATGAAAAAGATTTTATTCAAGAGAAATTTCATCAGATAGCTCAAAATGATAAATATTCAAAAGATAAAATTCAACAATTAACTAAAACTCAACAACAAATGGATGAAAATGTTAAAAGAGCTGAAAAAGCTATTCGGCTTGTTGCTAGGTTTGATTTAGTTTTCTTTTTTACTCGTTCTCTTCTATTTATTTTATTTGTTTTCAAAGCGATAAAGAACAAATTGCATCGTTTTGTAATCGAATAAATTCAGCATTGAATGTTAGTGAAAAACGTGGATTAGAATATGTTGAACAATTAATTAGTCAATTAGATGCACTTGTTCAACTTCCAACAAATTCTGATGATAATAATAAATCGTCGCCTGAAATGGTTTCATGCCAAGTATTTTCAGTTATTTATTTAGACTTTTTACGAATTTATTTATTTCTGTAGACAATGGCTAATGGATTTGTTAATTTATTAAATCGACTTAAAAAGTTAATTATTAGCAATACAAATGATATTCAATCATTAAAAGAACATTGTCAAATGTTAACAGAACAATTTCGACAATTATCTGAACAAGATGTATCATCACATATTGATTCAACACAAACAGTTCTCGTTCAAGCTCATCCAGTTAGAGTTCAAGTTAATCATCATCCTCAATCAGCATTTAAACCAATAAAACCTGAACAAGATTAATGTTTTCTGATATTCTTTTTAACTCATTTGAATGGTAGATTTTGTTTGTTTGTTTCTTCTAGACATTTTAACAATATTATTATTACTATTGAAATTTTAGTCTTCTTAAAGACGTTTTGTCAAATAAAACATTAAAACAGAAAATGTTCTATTATAATTCTATCGAATGATCTGCGATTTGATAATTTAATTCTTTTCTTTTCTTTCTTCACTAAATAATAATTTCTAAAGTAAGTTGTTCAGACACAATATGTTTCAGTCAAATTAAAAATGTAAATTTACATTAAATTCATTTATTAAAAGTTTCTTTTAAAGAAAATTTTTTAGTTGAAGCACAAAAAAAGAGTTAAAAAGGAGAACTTTTTTTGTTTCATTTATGTAATGAATATAATTCTTGTTCTATTGTTGCGTTAAATAGACATCACTTGAATACGGTGGTAAAGAATAAAGCATTTTCTCATGTGTTGTATTTCTATAAGAAAAAAACAATTGAATAAAAATTTAAAAAACATATAAGTCCTTTTCTTACTTATCATTTGTATTGTTAATATTTAATGGTTGAATATAAAATGATAAAATAAATAATGATATTGCAGTTACTAATGAAATACATAAAGCAACAAGAGCAATCCACCATGCAGATGATAAATAACCGATATGTGAAAATTTTCCTTGAACAGCAAATAAACCAATTGTTGATGATGTAAATACAACTAAAAGAATTTTCATCTATTTATTTAAAAAATGAGAATTATTTTGATAAACAAAAACCTGTAATAAACATTGAAATTGAAGCAGCAAAAAATAACAAGCCCATCGATTTTTGAGTTAAACCAGTAAGAAGTAATGCAGCAGCAATGACATAGAAAACGAATGCTACTATTTCTAATGATTGACTTATTCGAATAAAATCTTAAATTAATTAAATTAAAAAATTAATGGACATAAATATAAGTACCGGGTGGACCAAAAAATGCTGTATTCGTTATATTTGTTGGATAAGTTCTAGCATTCCAATCAGCGCAACGGTCATAATTAAGGATCTATTTTAAATAAATTTATTTATTCATCTAACTGATAAAATAAAACAAACCTCAGTATCACATAACTGCCATAAACCAATTTTAATTGGAACTGATGTATAAACAATCCAATTGGGTAAAAAGAATGATATTATATAAAGAATCAATGATAAAAAAAAAGATGAAAATGAAATCCAAAGACTTGTCAAACCAATTGTACCAGATACGCGAACAAAATTCATTTTGATTTTAACTTATTCAAATGAATAATTTATAAAATAAATAAAAATGAAAAAAGAAACGAATAGGTCAGGTCAACATCGTTCATCCGTGAAATTTTACATCAAATTTTGTTTCTTTCTCAACAACTTCTCTTCACTTTTTATTGATTAAACAAGAGTTTTTATTTCAATCAAAAACCATAAAAACGATATAAAAACTTTTTTTTTCTTTTAAATTATTTTAAAGAAAACGAACATTTATCAATGAAAAATTTTATTTTCAATTGAAAATTTTCTTTGTTTAAAAAACTTTTTTTCCTCGTTTCATTTTGTCACACATGATTGATTTTGAAACAGAAGGCAATGTCTATTGGATATTTTTATTTCTTTGTCGATAAAGATAAAATAACAATTGAAGAACTATTTCATGTTTTATTTTGTTTTATAATCGATTAAAATATTAGAATCAAATATGTGCAACGATTTAAATAATAATTAATTCATGAGCTATTTTTGAAATAGTTCAATATATTTAGTTGATCATGACGAATAAAGCAAAATGTAATTTAACATTTATAAATAAACATTGATATGATTAGTACTACTTCTTTTTCTTTTTTTCTGAGAATAAGATAAAAAGCCTCTTGAATATTTGACATGATCATCAACATACTTTAAAGACAATCATCATAAAATGAATCTTAGCTTGAGGCAACACTGACAACGCTTATTCAAGGA